CCAACAGAGCGCGTACGTCACGTTTCAGGGATAGTTTCTACCCCCAGGTAATAAGGTTAATAAATGACAGCAGGAAGGAGGGCTAAAGTCTGAGTTTAGTTACTATGTTTTTTTTTTTCTTGGATGTTTTAAATGTTATTTATAATTGTTATTTATTTATTGATTGACTGGTGCTGAGAGAGTGCCAAGGCACATTGTATTTCATTGCTGTGGTACCCTGTACTAAATATGCATATGACAATAAAACTGCAACCTCAAACAAAAAAAGCAGCATGATGCTTTTGAGAATCCAGCCTTCAGACCTCAGAGCCCCACGCAGCATACATTTTAAACATTTTAAATGAAGCCACACTGGCAGCAACCATCCGCAAAAAACTGAGATACTAGATGAGATCCATGAGCTGCCACCTCTGAGCTCAGCACGGGACTCGTCCAAGTCTCCTTCCCAGCAAGGGACGGTGAGAGAGGGAACAAGCCAACTTCACACCACTTCTCCCCGAACCCTTAAGCCTCTCATATCTGGGAAAAAAACAAAAAATTGGCTGACCACTCTGTGTTGGATGGCTGGGCGCTCTCACACCAGAGATGAATGGACACTGCCACAACAAGACTTGCTCGTGATTTGTAAAACACTGAATGGGAAGTAATTGGTTGAACCTGAGTGCAAATCCTACCCTTTGTTCAAGCAGTCACTTGATAGTCGTGTCACAAGCCAGTCCAGGAGCTAAATGAATGTAATGTAAAGAGGCTAGACGTTTTCTATAGATCTAATGACAGAGCAGCCGCTGTCCTCTCCTTAAAATCAGCTCACGCTCTGCTTCGTATTTGTTAAACACTCCAAAAAGGGGCAGGTTGTCAAAGCTAAGCGCATCAGTTCTTTCTCTTGTGGGAGAAACATGTGACATATCAAGAAATGCAAAAGAGTAGACAAGAAGTTGTATTATATGCAAAGGATCAAATGAACCGGACTGCTGCATCACAGACTGACTTCAGGAGTCTGTCAAGCTGATTATTTTAATCGTTTTTTTTTAAATAAACTGTTCTGTTTCATTGAGCCTCTAAAGTAACACGTGACCAGTGACAGACGGATTAATCCGACTCATTATCTGGCATTTAGACGTAACCAGCACTGGTCGATGTCTGCCCTCAGATACATCTGCAGGGAGCCTTGTCGGTGTGTTTTTAAGGATATGACTAAAGGACTAGCACATGGTTTATTTTCTGTGTTATGAGTGTTAAAGTTAAAGTCTGTTCCACACTCCTTCGCTTCCTGTGCACCTGCACTGATTAGACAATGCTAATTAATGCTTTGGTCAACAGATCAACACTTCCCACAGCCTGCCTGCCCCCCCTCCTCTTATTTGTCTTCCACCTGCCCTCTTTCTGTCCCTTCATCAATCCCACACTGACAGACACTTTAATAGAAGCTGGCAGCAGCTCCCAGGCTTTTCACTGGCAGATACACAGGCTTATTCTAGCCAGAGTGCTAATCATATACTCAAGTCAGTGGAGTACATAGAAATGATGCCACTTATAGCCAAGGATCATTATATACCTGCTTATCCTTTTAAGGGTTGCGGGGGGGAGGCGGGGGACACTCTAGACAGGTCACCAGTCGATCACAGCGCTGACACAGAAAACCATTCGCAGTCACATTCACACCTACGAGCAATTTGGAGTCATCGAGACGACATGAGAAAACCTGCAAACGAAAAAACACGCACACTCCTCACAGGAAGACGCAGCAGGTTTGAACCAAGTGCGTACCTATCGTGAGTCCATCCATCGGTGTGTGGAGTGTTATGAGTTTGGCATTATGGCTGACACCAATGGCATATTGTTTTTTTGGAGCCAGCAGCGGACTGCGGACTGCGAGTTGAGTCATTGGCAGTTTCGACTCGGCCATAGCAGGAAAACAATGGCGGCTTGCCCGGTGACACGCGTCCTTGTGTCACAGATGAACAGTACACTAAAATATGTTTCTGAAAACAGTTTCAGCAAGAAACAAGCAATGCAATTATATCTTGATTCATGGACAGGTTGATCGGTGCGGTGTGTTGGACGGACTCACTGAGAATGAGTTGTCAATCACAAGGTAGCCATGCCAAAGCATTTATTTCCAGAAGTTTGGACACACTTCCCTAAAGCATAACCTGCTTTATCAAGTAGTTTACTCTAAATGTGTCCATAAGTTACTAAATGAGCATCATCCTGTATGGAAGAAGACTTGAAACTAGCAAATGAGACCATAAACTCATTAGAAAACTGTTTACTGAGGTAGTTCTCCGTAAGACTCAATACTATCAGAGTTCTTTTTGAAGCCCATGAAGTCGCCCTCATATACCATCAGTGGTTTGAACCCAGAACCTGTTTTCCCACTGTCCCTCGGTGGCGTCTGTCCATGCAGTTTCAGTTTTACTTACCAAGATCTCTACCACATAGACTTTTACTGCTGCCCTAATAAAAGAGATTTCATTTTTGTGTTACTTTTGGAGTCATTATGCTGTTTCAGACAAAATCGGAGGTCCAGATTGGTTTCCATGTGTCACTAATACACAGGTGAACTCTCAGATCCACTCTCTCCAACCATCAGGACACAATAAATAAACATAAATCTCACACTGGCTCCCTCAGTGTTGATCCCATTAAATGACACGTTGCTTTGCTGTGCTGGCTACTCCACTTTCTGTGAATGGAGTTCTACAATACCTAGTGCAGATGCTGTTTAGCATTACTACCACTCCTTTTAATTTATTCTGTCAACCAATTTGGATTTACTTTTTATTGAATTTCCCTGAATGCATGTCATGTCTTTCATGAACTGGCTTTAGACAAACATCAGATAAAATATAGGCTTCGAGCCATTCATCTAATTGTCCCATCCTATTACTCTCACTGGCTCCTAAATCATAGATGTTATACGATGCTTCACCAATTAATTTGTTGTTTAAATGATAACTACTAGACCTTTAGGAAGAGTAAATATGACTTTAGTGTCCAACAGATACATGAGACAAAGAGAGAAGAGACATAAAGGTGACAGTTTGGTATCAGTACCACTTTCATTCAATTAAACACAGAAGTGAAATTAAAAGTTGAGTTGGTAGAGATGAATTGTGACAATTTTCCACTTTGGCACTTTCAACTTGCGTTAGAAACAATCAGTCTTTATGGCGACCCTTAGGACGGGGACATGGCGGAGGCATGCAGAAGTCACAACCAGCAACAAGTGAGCACAGTTACAGAAGAAAACTCCTTCAATGTTTGTGGCAAAACATATTCATCAGTTAAAAACAAGCAGAATATTTTAATTTTTATTATTAGGACATGATTCATCTGTCCGGCCCGGCCAACACATCTGCTTCTGAGGACATTACGGGGTGACTTACGTTGGTAGACGGAGTACTCAAAGTGTGTGTGGGAGTCGTTGCGTGCTTTTGAGGTAACACAATAATAAAAAATAAAATAAAAACATTCCTCAGGACATTTTCAATGTTTTAAAGGATCTCTTTGTGTTACGAAGTAATTCAGCATTTGTTTCTCTGTGGAAGAGAACGGGGGAGAGCATTGGTTCAGGGAAGGTGTGTCCTTTAAGTGAGGGACGTTTGTCAGCAGCTGTTCTCACTCTGCTGTTCGTGCAACCACCTCCAGACGATTGGTGGGCGGAGATATCTCCAACCATCTGATATCACGAGACTACACCTGTGTAAACAGAATCGTGATCACAGTGCGAACTTCAAACTGTTGGTATCGGGTGACTAAAACTAACAAAGCCAGGCTGATGGAGACCACACTGGCTGCACAATACTAAACCTTATTAATGAAATGCAGAGCAGATAAGGGAACTATGTAACCACCACGTCAGTCAGTATCAAATATTTATAACCATTATCTTAACATCGTAGTAAATCAGATAGACCTTTATGCAAATGAAAGAATGAGTCCAGAGTGTCCTGGGTATGAGCTTCCTGCTTAATGTGTAATTCGTCGTTTAATCTCAGACGTCTTCGCGCTGCAAACACATGCCAAGATAAACAGCTTGGGAAAGGCTGAATCCAAACGCCTCCTGACTGATACGGGCAGGCAGTTTCTTCATTACGACTACCACAGCACAGTCTGCTACCATCTTAGGGCTGTATGAAGTAGGAAAGCAGAACTGCTAAGTGATGCTCAACACGGTTTCAGGACAGTTAGAAAACTGTGACTCTTCGATCAGTGTGTTTCCACCAAACCTAAAGGAACTTTTTTTAGGGCTAAATTAGGTGTTATAAGAACACCTGGTTTCCATCTGTCCACTGTCTCCAGTGCTGTTTATACAACTAACCAACATGCATAACGACACTGGTACACTTATCCTTCCAAGAGTGACCAAAATACAGACTATACTGAGGCTGGCAGGCTGAAAAAAGAAACAGAAACTAGTCATTATACCTCTTCTGCCACTGTCTGAAGGATAAACATGGACTCTGCCTGTTTTAGGTCTTTGCCTATCTCTCTGAAGTATCATTCTGTAGCCAGCTGTCCTTGAGCAAACCCAAACATTTACTCCTTTTCTAACCCAAATGGATCCGACACACAACTGTTTCTCCTTCAGCGCTCCAGGTTTGCAACCCTGACACAGAATTGCTGACATGGAAATGCAGAAGTGACCAAAACAGCACAAATGCTTTACAGCACGAGTTGACACTGTGATCAATAACTGCAGAAAGCAAGTAGACTTAAAATGTAATAAATAAATAAAAACTGGCATACACAGAAAGTACTTCGTACCTTAAGAGACATGCCCTAATTCTGCAATCTGCTCAAAAAGTAAGTTATCCCTCCTGGCAACACTGAGTAAAAACGTACTTGTGTCAAATTCTGAAAGTAGACTGAGTGAAAAACAGGTCCACAAACTAAACCTTAACCGTATTTGATTTAATGAAGCTGAAAACAAACAGCTAGCCTTATGCATTATTAAGACATTAAAGAGTGGGTCAGCAGGTGAGCGCTCAGCTTACCTTTCACCTGAGCCACAGGAGACACTGCATCCAGAAGCCTCTGTTGGAGCAGCCTGTCTCACCTGCAGACACACAAAGGTTCGAGTAAGGTTTCACTTTTAACTCACGTTGTACAAACAGACAAACCGGCTCCCTCCCACTGTCTCAGTAGTCTTCCCATGCTCCTCCTGTTCACGCCACTAAGGAAGGCGGAGCCCCACCCAGTCGTAGTCCTAAAGGAGCTGCTAACGTGTGTTTGCCACTGTCAGGCCGTTACAAATACTCTGCAGTAATGTAGATTTGGGAAGTACTTGAGCAGTCTATCAGGGATTTAATCCAATAAAAAAAAGGGTAATTGAAGGCAGCAGCATAAAATATTTCTCATGGAAAGAAACAGGATTCTGTTCAGTGTTTACTAAGTCAACAGAAACTCAGCTGACCATGGTCGAACACACACAGACAGTAACACACTATCATATTCACGGAGGATTACCACACTTAGACTAGACAAACACACCTTAGTAGGATATGAATCAGAGGCCTGGAGGAGTCCATGCTAAACAAACATCACTTCTCATGTTCATTTAGATTTGGACTCTCATTCTTACTGGTTGTACTTGACCTATATTGTATTGTTTACAGCTAAAGACTGTTTTCAACACCCCGTTTTGGTCCGACTTTTGTTTTTCATTGAAATGCTTCTTAATCACGCCTGGGCAAAGAACAATGCATTCTCCGACAGCTGGGATGTGTGATAAGCCACGAATCCAAAAACCAAAACAACACACACATCAATTCACATAGCAGCACACACACACACCCTTAATATACAACAAATACATTACTATGATTCCTATATTCAATAACACACCAGTCTTCCAGCAAAGAAACACACGGTGGTTTTTGGTTTAGGACTGGTTAATATGTGCCTTTATATATAAACATTTGCACCGCAGAGTTGTGTCTCTCTAAAATGTTAACTATATTTTCACCAGGATCGTGTAACATGGATTTTATTTTTTGGATCATTACCATTTCACAGGTAGAGGAAGAGAAGTTCCCTGGCATTACTGAGGTTTTCAGTAACTTTATATATATATATATAACATGAAAGAAATTAAACATAATGTCAGCAGTTTGATCTCTAACGATGACACTTCAGCTAATGATCAAACCAACAAGTGTACAATGGGTTGGGCAGCGATCACTGAGCAAAGGAGGAAGCCGTAACACTCGAGTACGTCTAACCTAAATAAGAAGTGAACTGAGAGAGAATCCCTGGGCTGACAGCGCTTAAGGGACAAAGACAAAGAAGAGGAGGCACTGCAGAGGAGACTGGAGCCAAATGCGGAGAGCTACAAGAGAAAAACAGAAACATGTAGACCAGAGGGCCATGGTACACTCAAAACAGCCAAACAGAACTAACTTCCATTCATGTACGTCTTAGTACAAAGTAAGGATTTGTATGACAAGAAAAACATGTGTAAAAATGTACTAAGTGTGCATGTTCACAGAGTGAGAAGCGAAGGAAGACACTGTGACCCAGAATGTGGCATGTCCTACATTTTATCATTCACGTACGTTTAAGTGTTCACAAGACAAATTCACAATAAAATAAAATATATGCAGCCACGTAGAAGTGTTGCTGCACGATTATGAGGTTGCATTCGCTGTCCAGCGACACATCAAGCACCCACAGAAACAGTATTTAAACCCCTCTAGTGTTAGATTTACCTTGATGTATCACAGAAACTACTTGGACAGTACTTACTGTAGACGTTTGTGGCTCTGCCGAAGTAAATGGGCCAAAATACAGGAAGGGAACAATCAGCCGCACTAGCTCTGCAACTACAAACTATATGGTTATGGACGGGTGAGACACTGCCACATGAATACTGCATAACCAGCGCTCTGCATGCTTCTTTGCAAGCATACAACTAAGAAACATTTACATAAGAACACTGTGAGCTCGCCAAATTTCCCAGCAGAGAGCCAAGACTGACTCATAGGAGGGGTTGAGGCCAGATCCTGCCCACTGATTTATAGTTGTGTCTCTGGCTCAATTAAGGGAAACAATAGGAAGGGTGTGAATAATAACTTGAGGCTAGAAGTAGGTGCTCCAACTAAGAACAATATTAATCGGCAATACGCTTAATTACAGTAATAGAAATTGTAAAATTGTTAAACAGAATGTTTAATAGTTTTAAGTGAAGCATCAAATGCAAAAACCTCGTGAAGGTACTAAGAAACCCCAGATATCACTCAATAACGGAGCGTGCTGTGAGAAAATCACCATAGCGACTTCCACAAGGTCTCCCGAGGCCTGCGCGACCTACATCTGCTACAGCTCAAGCCACGATGCAGACCGCATGACAAAGCATTAACCTTACAACGATTACATGCGTGCCTTGGCAAATAAAGATTAAAAATTAAAGATGTACCTGTTCTTTATTTAAAAAAAAAGCCCTAGTAGAGGATAGAAACTGAGGCAGGGCCGGTAGGTGATGTGTGGCTGACATGAGATTTCACTGAACTGCATCAAGATATACCAAAGACTTACACACATCCACATCTGCAGAGTTTTAACATTCACATTGTGCCCGCACATCCTAAAGGAATAGACAGGAATGAATAGTTATCACTCCTCCTCACTTACCTTTACATCTGCACTGATAATCTCTGATGCTCAAACACAACAGGTCTCATAAAATGAAGGTTTGAACAATAAATAGAGCTTGTGCAACAGAAATGTGTTTTTATTAAAGTAAAGATGGCTCTCCTGTGAAGGCAGGCAGCCAGAAATGAAGTCAGTGTCTGTTCAGGGAGCAAGTATTTTCAATTAACTGATTATTATACTAAGTCCTTCATCTGCTCCCATTAACTGAGATCCTAATCCAAGTGGATAATGGAGGCTGATATTTACAAGTGCCCCTAGGTACACAGGGATTGTTTGTCCAGCTACACACACAAACAGACCATAAACTTAATCATTCTGCCGTCACGAAGGCAGAAAAATCAGTAGCATGAGACACAGGGACACAAAGTGAGCACTCACCGCTCATAATGACAGCAGATTAGACTTTACAGGAATGGCACTGGCTCTAAGGGCACTTATCATTAAGTGCACTCAAATGCCTTACAGAATAATTACTGCTCATCACATGGCGTCCTACCCTGGGGCCGGTTGTCTGCGCCGATCGGTTTAACTCTGGGTTGACACAATAAAACTGGTAACCAACCGAGGGGACGCTGTGGGATCCAGCAACCATCTAAACTGGACCCGGGAACTGATGACAAAAGGTTATATAACATTAACTTGATATTTTCTGTAGCTCAGAAACTGTGAAAAAGAAAAAAAACAGATATAGAAGAGAGACTTTTACATTTAACTGGATCCTAACTGCAGCTTAAGATACTAAGATATTGTAAAATGTCTGTATTGTATAAACTTCTGAAGGTGTTAGTTATTAAAGCTTACGCACTGCTGTTAACACTTTACGTACTATCGGAGCCTATTTCTGCTCTTGTCCAATTACTGAAACAAAAGGTCCACTAACATCAGTCCTGAGCTCACCATTCTGCATCATAATGATTACCTGGATGTGAACTGTGGCTGTGATCAGCAGGTTGTTCATCAGATGTTACAGACTCGAGGCACAGCTTCAAAGACAGGACACATTAATACTCCTGTAGCAAACCCATTTTGTTTTGTCCACCAGAAGACAGCCTGCATTGTTTACAAGTTAATCTTGAAAAACAAATATCTGCTTTAGATGCATTTTTTTGACATGATTTCTCTGCATATAAATTTCATGATTTGGGGTTATTTCTAAGAAAATGTAATTTCATCTGTTTTTATATATATATTCTTGCCTGTGTTGAAGATAAAGGTTTTGTTTTAAATAGTGACATTTTATTTTGAAGACCACTACTTCCTACTTCCTTCCTGTGTTGTATTACCGAACAAAACAAAGCCACTTGACTACGGAATGAATGAGCTAACAGTAAAACGGTAAAAGTTTAATTGATATTAACGTCAAAGGCTGAGTGTATTTTGGCAACCCCCCGAGGAGGCACAAGGTTGGTGTGTGTTGTACTTATGGTGCTTATGGTGATTATTTGATGATTTGTGTCAGAAAAATATGCTAACTCTTTTGCCCGTGTGTTTGGTGAATTAGCGGTTTATTGCTTGGTATAATGTTGAGTTGTCTGAGAAAGTACTGTGATCATTTACCATTTATTATGGACAGAAGTGGAAACAGAGATGTGATTGCTTTGTTTTTCTTTGTTTGTCAGTTCTCACGTTGGTTTATGGAGCTGATTTTCTGGAACAGCAATAAATGTTAAAACCATCAGTCGAGTCTCTTACCATCTTTCGGAGGGTATGCTACACAGTGTTATGTCACTTTGTTAGTTGTATAGTGGTGGTGTGTGTTAAGACTAGTGTTACCTGTACTGCAAGTTACCTGACTTTTGGGTTTTTGCATTGAGTGTTCTTTTCATTGTTTGCAGTTCGTTGTACTAAGATAATGTAGTAACAGAAACTTTTTCTTCGTCTTAATTTAAACACTTTTTCTCTATTATAAACATAATGCATGCCTCCGATTCTTCAAGAACTTGAGTAATGACACATTTGTCAACACAAGTTGAAGCTGATTGTAGGATATTAGGCCAATATTGTTCCAACATAGTCCTGTTTTCTACTGGATGTAGTTAGAAACTGGGTGACAAAAGCATTTCTTGAGCATACAGACATGGATTTAGTTAACATATCTTTGAGTTATGATGTTTTCAAGGAAACTCTGTATTACAATACACGACATTAAACTATGGCTGTAGCTTGAGATAGAAATGCAGCCAATACAAAGAATCAAAACAAAAATGTAACAGTTCAACTAATGTGATGGAATAAAAGCAAGGCACTTATATGGGAAGGTACTATCCTAATCCCACAGTAGACAAAGTGTTCAGTATGCCAAACCTGTACAGTCTGGTGATATAATGGCAAAGGTGATTTTAATATAAATTGTAAACATGCAAATAGATGTTTTCAGGTAGCAATTAGCCAGTCACTGCAGTCATG